ATACATGTTTTTCATCACTTGTAGTAGAGGCTGCGAAAAACCGAGTTGAGAAGCAAGATGGAAAATGATATTACGAGGCACCATGTCGAAAGCTTTCTTATAGTCGAAATGGACACCAACCAAGGAATTCCCCGATATCAACGCCTCCTCGATAGAAAGAGCGATATCATAGAAGACATCGTCACAAGAGTGACCAGGCCTAAAACCGAACTGAGCATCATGGAGAACGGACTCCTGCCATTGGATGACATCCTGTAGACGATAAGCACAATACAGACGGTATAAGACCGACATGACACCCAACGGTCTCTGTCCCAAGGGAGACATGTCATTGACATCTTTTGGAATTAAAGAACAAAAACCGTATTGCAAAGCATCAGGCCACTGTTGGGTTCCTTCAATGGTTGAGAACAATTTGGGTAGAATACTCAAAATACAGTCTGGTAGATTTTTGAGATCTGAAACGGCCCAGGCATCAGGACCTGACGCCGAGCGTGTTTTCATTTTCTTCAAAATTTGGCGCAAACCTGCAGTCGTGAATGGGCGAAGTGTCATTTTGACTGGCTGTGGAAAATACTGCCCATATCTCAGTTCAAAATTGGACCAGGAAGGTTCTGGTTGGGAAGAATACTTATCAAAAATAGGCAACCAAGCATTCTTTAAAAGAGATTCAAGCTCTTTAAAATTGCCTGTCAGCTTGCCCTCAGAAGTCTGAAGAATTTTTGTGGGAGCATGCAGCACCGGATCAACTTTTGAGTAAACATTGGAAGGCTTGGTCTTCCAGTCTTGTTGCAGCTTTTCACGGGCAATCGTGACACGTTTGTAAGTTTCTTGTGCTTGCATGCTAGCAACAGCTTTCTGCACTTGTTCAATCATGGACTTGAGTAAGGGTGCAGAAGGTAGATCGACTGCATCAAACAATTTTGAGAATTTGAGAAGAAAAGGTCGGCTGGACAATACACTCTGCCAAAGTTTCCAGGTCTGGAATGAAGAAGCCACGCTATTGTTGAAATAATGCTGCAGCTGCTCCAAACGCCGCAGCAAACGCTTCAAGCGACGGAGAGCAACATTTTCACATCCGGCTCCTGCTGGGCCTTGAGGAGCAAAGCGGGGTTCCTTAACCACATGGGGGACACGACCCCGTCCCACATACCTTTTGGAATGTAAACCAGAAGCTTCAATCAAATACTCTTCGGCAACATTTGAGAAATAATGGTACAAAGAGTTTGAATCGAGAAGTTCAGGAAAAGTGGACTTGTTCACGATACTTTCAGCCAGCTCTATTTGTTCAGGAATGCTCTCAGGTAAACAAGCAGGCTTGCGAATGCGTGGCACAATTTCTGAGAAGGCTGGCAAGTCAAGGTTTAGTGCCAAGGGCAAATGGCCCGGAAAGCCAGAGTCAGGTAAAGCTCTGATAGAAATTAATGCAGATGCAGCAGCATCGGTGGCTAATGCAACATCCAAGCGGCGTGCTTTACCATTCGTGGGAAAAAAGTTGGACCAGTGTTAAAGCCAGGATCAACCAAAATGCCTTTTGCAATTGCATGAGACAACACAGGACGGGCATCCGGTTCTAAATTTATATCACCAAGAACAAGCACCGGTGCATCGGGCCCAAGCTGAGTTATGACCTCCAAAACATCTTGAAGTAAGGCTTCATTTAAGTCAGCTACCTTGGAATGACTATAGTGTCCTGTGAAACCGTACAATGAAAAAACATGCAAGGTCTGTTTGCAATTTCCATAGGCAAGGACTGCATGTACCCACCTGCACGAATGATACAATCGTTTACGAATGGGACAGTCACCAGGAGGTACAAACTGCATCGGAATGTGAGAACGGGCTACAATAGCAACACCTCCAGGACGACCATTAAGACCAGTGCTTGTGTGCATCGCGGATTTTGAAAATTTAAAAGGCTGAGGTTTGCCCCACACTGCCTGGTAGCCATGTTTTTTAAGCAACAGAGAAAACCCATGTTGGGATTTGGCTGTATGGCGAGTCTCCTGCAATGCAATCACATCAAACGGAAGAGACACTAATAAATCCTGCTGAGCATGAAAACTAGTGACATTGGCCGTCATAACAGTCCATGTTGGAGAATTTTCCAAAGGTGATCTCTCATGTCGCTGCGACGATGAGCAAAAAGTCAAAGATTCAGCTTGGGACGGTGAGGAAATCACTGCTTCTGGACTAGCTTGCGAAGCTTCCTCCGCGGATGGAGCTATTGCAAAAACAGCATCATAATGGGTCGAACCATTATAAGCAACCCAAATAGGGGGATTAATGCTATGAGCAGGCGAAACTACCTGCACACCATGTGCTTGGGCAATCATAATCTGGGCTTGCAAGAGTTCAGCACAAATTAGAAGGGACAAATTATCACCCCAAGTTCCATTGATGGCTAATTGTTCAATGTAGGATGAGAGAGATTCACCTTCAGAGAAAAAGGAAAGATAATCATCAGAATGCTCTGTCAAAAATTGTACTACAGCACTGCGAAGCTCAAGGTGAGAAAAATCACAGTGCCCAGCAATGGAATGGAATTGGCAATTGCCATCAGCTGGGGATGGAATACGGTTCATATCACAGGCTTGAAGTTTTAGGTCGATGGCAACCCACGGATTCTGTTTACCCTTCAGACGGACACGGCCACCTCCGCGTCCTGCAAAAGGACTCAACAGTTGGTTTTCTGATCTTTGCGTGGACCTCCCTTGTGTGGAGTACCCTGAGGAGGATCAGTACGCTTGGTACTCGCGGCAGGCAAGGCAGGGGCTTGCATATTTTGCAGTTGTGACATCACTTGTGAAAAACCGTTGTCAATACGATTCGTCAGTCGTTGCTCAGTGTCAGTGAGACGACCTTCATAGGAGGTCATTCTTGCCTCAAGCTCCGTAAACCTTTTTTCATAGGCAGCAGTAATGGTTGAAAACTCAGGCTGATTACCAGAAGAAGGCTTGGAGCTTCTAGGAGCAGGACCAGGAGCTGCCGCTTGTTTCTGCACGGTTTGTCGGGTCTGGCGATTTACTGAGTTCGCATGGTGCGTGACATCCTGAATTAGGACACGACAATTTGAGCCTTCATAAAAACGTTCAGGAGGCGAAACATCAGCAAGCAAATACCAAATAGATTCGCCATCAGCAGTAAAAATCTGTCTTTGAGGTAGGCAATGCCATCCACCTTTCCAAGCAGCGGAATTTGTGATGATGTCTTGGCGGGTGCAACCACGTGGAAGGCCCAAAGCTTCAAAGCGGAGTTTGCCCACAATGCTGCGATTACTATCTGCGAAGCGTGGATCAGTGGCTGCAAACAACTTTCGTGCTGCAGCTACGTCTTTGGCAGCAACTCGGACACCGAGATTACCGTTGGCAAACACTAATCCCAAGTGTGACTCAAAGGAGCGTATCAAGGCAAGAGCATCTGAGTATGTCTTCTTGGCGAGCCACAATACCACGATCTCTTGCGCACGCGCAGCTTTTTCTTCCTGGGTGCGACACATCTTCTGGATAAAAAAACGGGCCCAAAATACCCGAGGCCTGTAGAAAAAGCTTTTCATGCTTGGTAGGTGCACGAAATGTCGCTCGGTGCGTTCCATCATCTAACTTGCGCCATGCAAAAAAGGGCAAGTTTCGGCCGTGAGGCCTGTGTGCAAATTGCGGATTTTGGCAGGAATTTCCTTTCGAGAGGCAGCAATGTATGCAGACCAGTTGTCATCTTCAAATACTTGCTTGGAGATGAAGACCGAAAAATCACAATATGCTTCATTAGACCAATCTTTGTCTCCAGATGGGTCAGCAAAACCAACAGGATTGGCGCCAAGCTGAACCATGGTCACTTTCTTGCGAAAGTACTTTCCAAGCAGAGCGTCTCTCAAGAAAGCATATTTCACATGTATGGCAGAGTCGTTTATTCCAGCAGCGATCAAATCGCTGTTTCTGTCACCGGGTAGCAGAACTGCTAGTGGCGCAGTGCTGCGAACAGCTGAGGCTTCAATGAACATTTGACGAGTCAGCAACACAAGCCCCGTGGCATTTGTTTTGAAATCTTCGGGAGACAGCTGAAGCAAACCCCCTTCAACATATGTGAGATCAATTTCCAGATCTACCCAACGAGCACGCTGAGGTTTCTCAGGTTTTGTGTGCTTTGGTTTTGGTGTGCTTGGTCGTGCTTTGTTTTTCATGTAAGTAGCCCATGCATCATGTTCCATGGCGACTGCAGGGCCGTCACCAGCATTGCATCCACGAGATGCCGGTGTAAGGCATTGAGTGGCGAGCTCGCCATATGAAGAGGCACGTCTCATGACAGCAAAAAAACCGGAGATCGGACCGGAGAGAAACTGAAGCCCAAGACGGACAATGCGGAGATAGAAGTGAGAAGACTGATGCTTGCGAAGACGAGCACAAGGTTTTCTGGCTTGACGATAGCGGCGACCACCAATGAAGCGAGCAGCAAAAACTCTGCGTGGTTTAGCAGAAGCAAAACTGAAAGGCACAAACAGCCAATCAAAAATAAGACGAGCAAGACACCAGGCAAGAAGTGCCCAAAAAATCCAGAATGACCAACTGTCAAACCAGAAGAGAGAGAGAGATTGCCTGACTGTGCAAAAGTCCGCCAAAAACGACTGACTCGGAACTGTAGGACAGAAACACAAGACGGTCGAGAGGCAGTAGCAAAACGAATCTGTGCAAAAGAAAATCCAGCGAGATAGGATCTCGAACACAATTGACATGTCTTGGACAAACAACTGTAAATTGGCTGCGAGTGCAATGGACATACACATCAAAACTCCAATGGGACAGTGGCCTGAACACAGCTATTCATGGCCTTAATAGACACTCCACCATGGTAACTCGAAACCATGCCAGGAGCCACAGCCTCTGTCCAGGCCTTCCGGGTGCAGTTCACGGTGAACTTGGTCCCGGCAAGTTCATTCTCGAAGGCTCGCAGGGGAGAGGCGGTGTAGTTGGCCCAGTCGCCCAAGCACTTCCAGTCAGCCCATCCTGAAAGAACATGCCGATGATAGCCATCATCGCAAGGCGGCCATTCGCCGTAGTAGTAGTGTCGCCCTCCGCCGGGGGAGGAGTTGCACACCCGAGCACGGGGCATGCAACTGGTGGTGTAAAGGTGAAACCTGTGAAACACTGCGAATAGAGATGTCGGAGTACTGTTTGAACAAAATCAAGGCAGCACTGGTGGTGGGTGGATTTGGATAGCTGGGATATTGCCTGATGAAAAATCACGCACAAGGGATGATCGATTTGAAGCCTACTTGGCACACGGACAAACTTGTTTGGCCAATACTGCAAATCTTCTCCATCCTTCTGCGTTCTCAGCCCCGCAATGTATACACTGGAGAGCGTCGTCATATTGCTGGGGCAGTCGGAATTCATGCTGCACACCTCGGTGATTGTTGTGTTCCCTTATCAATGCTTGGCGTTTTTGAAGCATAACAGAGCTTCTTGGGACGTGGCTTCCCCGGTCATCATGAGTACTGCCGCCACACTTTTCAAGCAACAACTTGCTGAGATTAGAATTAGTTCTATGACAAGTAGTACACTGATAAACTTTATTTATGCGTTCGAGGCCAATCACATGTTTCTCTTGCAATTTTGCAGTTCGATTATGGAGTAAGATTTTTTCAAATTGCTGTTTTTGACGCCAATCCGTAGCAGCTTCGATTCTTTCCTTTTCTGCGGGTGTCCAAGTGATGCTAACCACTGTGCTTTTATGAGATTTAACCTTACGTTGCTGGACAGCTATTGGCACCTCGGGCCTTGGGGGCTGCTTTCCGTGAAGTCGGGTGCGCACTGCAGGCGCTGTCCACAGTGGTCTTGGGACGGCTGGCAGCACAGGAACAAATTTGAAACTGTGGCCTATATAGTTGCACTCCATGATCGTTTGGAACAAACAATCGTGTACAAAGGCAGGGCACATGAGGTATGGTCGCACCGAGAATCCAGATGCTCTTCCCATACCGATGCTGGTGAGAACTGATACATGCGTCACATACTCTCCCGGAGAGAGGGAACCACCACAAATCTTGGCCATTCGTCTGCTTGCACGATTAAAGAAATGAGCTCTTTGAGCAGCGGTACGGCTATCTTGCATTTCGTCTGGCATTGCCAAGGCACAGTGCGTGGCCGCATAGAAATCGAGCGCGAGCTCCAACCAAGAAACACCAGGTGATTCCGATCCTTCTTCTGGCCATTGCAAATTAGTCCAATACCAAACTAATGGATGAAAAGTGCCAATTCCGAAAAGCCATTTGGATCCTGCACGGTACAGTCTCCAGTTCGAAGGAATAACCCCTTTGAAACATGTTCGTGAACTTGAAATTTCTTGTTCATATTTCCAGGGATAGTGAGGAAATAGCGAATACCTGCTTTGACCATCAGAGTCTTGATGTTGTCCACATTGAGGATCCTTTGTGATTGGGTCACTGATTGATGGCTGAGGTGTTGGGTCTTTTTGATTTTTAGAGTCGCGTTCCCTTAATATAGAAATCATATATTGAATTTTCGGAACCATATTTTGCACGTATTGCGGTGTGAAAGGTTCCGTGTGGAGAAGATTCTTGGGGAACAGGCCGCACTCTTTCATACATGGTGGGAGAATAGGTAGGACGGCACCAAATTCACTGGCTACTGTGGCGCGTAAGTGTTGCCAAGCCGGGCATGACCAGAAAAGGTGATCAATGGTCTCAGGTTTATTTTGGTCACACCATGGGCAAATGGGGTCGGTCGCGCAATTGGCTTTATGCTTTCTCTCCTGAGTATAGACAGCTCCAGTTAATATATTTCTAAGCTGGGCAAAGTCAAAAAGCGTCAACTGCGAGCAAATCTTTTTATGCCGTCTTTGGATAAGTAAATTATTACAGTCATATACCAATAGGGGGCCTCCCTGCATGTCTTTTCTGGCACCATATGCAGTATTGTTCTTGAGTACATAGTCACGAAGGCACTCACGCAAATTATGATGGAGGCGGTTCACATTTGGATCTAAAAGATCGAGCAACAAACCATCCGATGTGCGAAATTGGAATGGAGAACATCTGATGGCATCCAATGAATGGAATATTCGGGCCAAAACTGCAAGCGGTCCGACGCCGCATTGATCGGCATGTGTTTGATAGTGGTGTTCGAAAACGGCTCTGAGGTCCTCCCTCCGCCGCAACAGCCGCGACACCAAGGTCAGAGTATGGTACATGGAGGCTGCATAAGGATGGAGTATGTGCACTGGAACAATATGCGTTGCTGTGGTTGCCCAGCAACGGAGCCAACTTTTACCCCGCCAAAGTGTAGCAACTATTCCGCTGCGTAGTGACTCCAGTAAACCATGGGTGAGTTCAACCAGTTCTGATCCAAAGATCGCCGCTTTGAATATGGCTCCTGCCAAACGGATCCGAAACTCAAAACGCAAAGGTGCATAGCGAAGTTTCTGAAGTTTTTCCACTGTGGCAAAAACACGCTGGTTGCGGTTATGCGTGTCTGGTTGTCCAAGGCTAGTAACCACGGAACCCACCAATGTGAATGAGTCTTTGCGTGTGAGCTGGTTTTTGCTGGGCAATCTGGACATCTCACTATTGATCAGTGCAATAACGTGGGTGGAGTTACTGAAAAAGAAGGATTTGTTGCTGTTGGTAACAAGGCCCATAACGTCGTCAAATTGGAGAGACCGCTGCCAAGACTTGCAAATTTGCGTGGCTGCTTGTTCAGGTTCATCAGAGCTACAATAGAAATGACTATCATCAAGAAAGCTTCCAGTATTTAAATCCAAGGCATTACCGTCGTTAACCTTTATGAACTTCGTCCAGGCCATCATGTACGCTAAAGCGACGGGAAAAGAATCACCTTGGGCAAAACCATGCTTCTTGCTGAAAAAGTCTGTGGTTGCACGCTTGAATTTATATTGACAACGTAGTTGGTTGTACATATTCTGGGTAGCGGCAATCAAACCACTTGGTGCTCCGAGTTTTTTGAGTAAGTGGAAACCAACTTCATACTGGAGAAAATCGAAAAATTTCTTTCTGTCCAATGATATTCCGGCGACAAATTTTTGACAAATGGTGTGATATTCGAGGTTCAGGGCAAGAGCCCAAGATATGTCATAGATTTCATGATGTTTTCTTGCTCCTGCCATGCAAGGCGTGAGCCACTGTTCACGCCACTCAGTCATTTGGGTATATCTGCAACTGGAGTAAGTGGTGTAAAGGGGTGATAGGTTGGTGATTGGACGAGTGCTGAGCCCGTCTGCCATGACTAGCTGACCACTTGGCACATCATCAGGCGAGGCACCATTACCTTTTGGAATAGTGGTAATCACACCGAGGCAACAGATTCTTGGCCATGAAGCACCGTTCTCGATGGCATTCAAGCATTTAGCCAAAAGATCATACCATTCACAAGGTAAAAATTTTAACTCTTCTATGCGCCAACCATCAAGTGCTACCGGCTACCGCACGTGAGGATTTGGTCTTGGCCAGTTGCTTCTTTAAATCTTGACCACTGAGCGGTTGGAGAACACAAGGAACAGAATGCAAAAGCGGATCAATCTGTGTTAAAACGTGGTCCATGTTGACCAAGTCATTTTCATGAAAAAGATCCTGCCAGGCTTGAGCTATTGTTGCAAGCATTTCGTTGGTGTCCGTGACAGTAGTCCCCTGTGGTGTCGAGATTGCCTGCATATTGACAGGCGCCTTGCTGTTTAGCCACGCAAAAGCAGCAGCACCATGTTTATGAAGCTCAAAACTATCACGCAACTTCTTTTTCCAAACTCGGATTCTGCAAATTGCAGCACTTTTGTGATGCTGTTGCACCATGGCATTAACCTGGCTAATTAGACCCTGGCATTGAACATCTGTCCAGCACTGATCGCATGGCAACTTCCACATTTGACAGTGTGCGTAAATATGTTTTGTCAGTGCTTCCACATCGTGAAGTCCTGTAGCTGAAAGTCGACCTTTGTGAAAAAGGCATTGCTTGAACTGAAGTTCTTTTAGTAGGCGGAGTAACTTATGTAAGGAAACCAATGCACGTTTGTGAACATGGTCAGGGTGCTTAGCAGATGCTGAAGCTGCGACAGCTGCTTGTTGAACAAAAACAGGGCTGCGATTTCGGCCTCCTTCTCCTTTTTGCTTACTAAAATCTGCCAAGATTGCCTCCCCCAGTTTGGCCATGGTTGTCCACGCAGAATTCATATTATTCTCGAGGAGAGCTTTATTGAAAGTAGTTGAATATCGATTGAAGTGTTTCTGGAAGGATTGAGAAATAGAACTTCGTAGTTTTTGTTTGGCTGCCTTTTTCTTTGGCTCTTCTGGCAATTGCAAAAAAGGCTTCGGTGGCCGAAAAACACGAAATACTTCCATGGCTCTGAATAGCGAGATTTCAACTTGAAGGCCGAGATGACCCTTCACAGTGAGGTCTCTGCGTAAACGGAATGATTTACACATGTGAAGTGCGGTTGCATTTGCGAGTATTAAGTCGGGACGTGTAATACCTTTACCTCCACTGATCTTATCCCAGGCGGGATCCGAAGAAAAAGTGAATTCAGGCGAGTCTTTGGTGAAGTAAGCACCTAAATCAATCCAGTACTTGCTGGCAATAGCTTGATTGAGCACTAAACTGGCTCGGATAGTGGTGTTTGAATCTAAACATAGTATTACAGGCTCCTGACCAAGAGACATACCGTAGTTCAACAGCTGTGATAAAAGTCGGTCGTTTTGGGTATGCCTTGCATCATTTCTGCGATTCACAACTCCATAAAAACTACAAATATGCAAAAACCGACGCGCTAATGCCCCATGGTTGCTCAGCGGCACGGCGGCTGTGGTCCATCTAGTGCTCTCGTAAAGAACTTGCGCAGCATGTCCATCCCTGCCAATAGGAATGAGAGGTAAAAACTTTTTGGAAATGATGCCGACACCTCCATAGGTTGTTTTGCCTGTCGCTCTTTTTGCTGGCATGGCAAATTTGTTGATAGGATTTGCCGGCGGTTTGCCCCAAATGGCATGCCATGGTTGTTCCTGCGCAGC